GTTTTTCCACTTAATCAAGGTCAATTGCTTAAGGCACTTGACTGCTAACCAGAAGTCTGGCGGTTCAAATCTACCAGCCACTCCAGGGAAGGAAGGTTGGGCAATCTACTCCCTTAGTGATACTGCCTTGGAAATCCAAGGAGGGGTCGCTAGGAGTCGGGTCCAACTCCACAGGAATGGTTGTATATTGCATTTTTGCAAGTTAATTTTTGTCTATCTCATTTATTTATTAGGCCCTTCATAAAACACCTCCCTTGAGACATGAATGACATTAGAAAAAGATATTAAATATTCTTCTTCCCAGTTTCCGATGGCATAATAGTTCAGATTATATAAAAATATTTAACATCTCAATACCATGATATGCCACTTTGTGGGCTCCATTTTAATTACAAAATTTTAAAAACAGCTTTAATTCAAGAACATAATATTTAAATGTTCTTGATACTATTTATACATGGTGATTTAACAATATTCTCTTGGAAGAATTTTTTTAACAGAGCTGTTTTTCATAATTAAATACCACTTTTTGATGTAGTTATGAAGGATTCCATCTGGTCACAGATATGTTCCATATTTCTTATCCGTAAGGAGAGGGCTGGCTCTTCTGTGCCCTACAAGTCCTTAGGGAATCAGAAACTCATGAGTGTCAATGCTTGTCAAGATAAGCAACTTTTAAAGCATGACATAGAGGATTAGTTGGCTTTAAATAGAGAATGTGGATTCTCTTTAGAGTGTTAAAACTAAAAAAACAATGAAAAATAAAAAAAACAATTCACTGCCATCGAGTCAATTGCGACTCCTGGCAACCCCTCCTTGGGTTTTCAAGGCAAATCACTACCGAAATAGATTGCCCAATCTTCCTTCCGAGGAGTGGCTGGTGGGTTTGAACTGCCAGCCTTCTGGTTAGCAGTCAAGTGCCGTAGGCACTATGCCACCAGAGTGTTGTGTTGTTGTTGTTATTATGTGCTGTTGAGTTGGACCGACTCATAGCGACCCCTCCTTGGGCTTCCGAGGCAGTATCACTACGGAAGTAGATTGCTCTATCTTCCTTCCAAGGAGTGGCTGGTGGGTTTGAACCGCCAGCCTTCTGGTTAGCAGTCAAGTGCCTTAGGCACTATGCTACCAGAGCTCCTACCAGAGTGTTAGAACCATTCAAAAGCCAATTTCACTTTTTCATGTACACATAATTCCATATTTTTAGGTGTCCACCTGCACTGAAATAATTCACATTGTATTTTTGAATCAGCAGATTGAGTTCCACCACTAAAGCTTTAATCTTCAATTTGTAGTTTTGTATATATTTAGTGACAGAGTGTTCAACTGTTTTTGTCACTAGTATGAACCTGATATTAGAATGATATGATAGTGTGAAGATAATGATAACTCCAGGTAAGGTAAAAGCACCATTATTTCAACTACTGAAATGTGTTAGGCGATAGCATCAATGATGTGAAATATAGATTGCAAAATATGTTCTCATTCTTCTCTGAATAGTGTTTATTAGTATATAACAAATTCTCATGCAAACTCCAATTTAAGTTCTTTATCTAATTCATAGTTTGCAGTCTATTTCAGTGCTTCTACTCTAATTAATTCACCTCAGTTGAATTTCCCATAAGAATTTGAATAGTAGGGAAAAAAAAAACTTATAATCTAGGATATAAAAATTAGCATATTTCTTTCTGATTAGGAATTCTAAGTTTAATTTTGGCATGCTCTTCACCTAAAATGGCTAATTATCCTCCAAGTCTTAAATTTGAATTTAGTGGAACAGATTAGGAAAATGGATTGAGAATATCAGTACATCTACAGCTTTACATTATGGGAAAAACATGAGAGAAGTGAATAAACTAGACCATGGACATACAGAGTTTTGTTGCAGGTTAGGAGAGAAAGTGAATGAAAGAAACTCAGCTTGATTTCATGGTACATAGATTTTAGATCGCTCATCAGAAGTTGGGCTATCTGTATTTGAAGTTTTTGATTTTTCTTTTTTCCCCACACACCTTATCTGACTATCTCTTAAGAGTATAGAGAATCTTGACTTAGTCCAGAATATGAAAGTTCCCAGAAGTCTGCTTATGGGAGCCTTCTGCCAATTTGAGAAGACAGTTTATTTCTAAAATGGCATATAAATCAGGAAAGCTATCAAGGAACATCAAGGTTAGGGTGGGAGAGAAAGGCAAAAAGACCACTGGTGTGATTTTCATTATTATGTTAGAAATATCATAAATAATGAGGACAGGGAAGACTCCTAAACTGACACGAAAGCACCAGAAACATCTCCGAAAGTAGGATATGAATGACTTTTGGATGATTCACCTCTATGTTAGTCAGGAGTTGTTCATTGCACAAATAGCTCACTTTTTTAACGTAATCATTTCAAACCGTAGACTTTATTTACAATGGTAATTTGCATATCTTTAGTACTTAGAAAATAATTTATATTTTTCCATCATTTAAACAAAGGATAGACCTGAGTCTCATGCCTTTTGCACAGCTTTTACCTTCAAAGAAAGGTCTCTGGGAAAGAGAGGCAGGAGACATGGAGAAACTGCACATCAACAGTTTACATACAACGCTTCTAATATTAACACTCCGTATGACATACAACACCCTTTCTTTAGCTTTACTGTAATTACAATGGCTAGAATTTCGGAATTCTATCAAAACGACAGAATGTTTCGTTTTAAGAAAAATGGATAGTTTCTGAAATATAATCTTCATCTTCAACTGAAAACAAAACCAGGTTTTATATAAATGGAGAGAGAGAAAAAAAGGCTTTTTATAGTTAAAAACAAATAAACAGTGAAAGTGATATTTTCACTAAGGAAACGATACTCTAAAGGTTAGCTTAGATAGATACCTGGAAAGAGATTCTGTTAACATGTTGCAGATGACATCAATAACACTCCAAATATACTTGGCCTTTTACTTAACAGAAAGCAACCAACTGGCATCAAGGTAAACAGTTTCACTTTCTCCTTGCTCTGATTTTATGGTTTCCTACACAATTGTCCTTTTCCCTACGTGGATTAGCAATTCTTACTTTTAAAAGACCTGAGTTAGTCTAATGGCACCTACAAATAGGCTCATATAAAATGTAGTACCTTGCAACAAACACACTGGCACCACAGGAAGTAGACTCTGGAGTTGAAAGTGAACACATCAATATTATGGTCACCCATGAGGTGGCGATCATCACTATCTGAAAGTGTCATTTTATATTCTTAGGCATTCTTTGTGTGTGCATGAAAGTGACCCATTTGATGAATATCAATCCCCCAATCCTCCCCCCCCTTTTTTTTTTTTTTTTTTTTCAATTGACCTCTAGCTTCAATGATCAGTGTCTGGACTGATGAAGACAATTCTGGAATGAAGAGATTCTCAATTGCTGTGGTTACAATTATTCTTACCAGTTCATGTATCTTAAAACCAAACAAACAAAAGCCAGGCAGTGTGCTAAGGCTGCCACTGTGGCAGCCAGGCTGTCTCCTCCGTGGAGCCACACAGATTTGAGACAGCAGCCAATATACAGTTATGTACTCACAAATGTTTAGCTCATTTTTTTTTTTTTTTTTGCATTTTCCATCATCCTACTCACTCCATACCTAGATTTTTCCTCAATTTATGTTTATTTTAGAAATGTAGAACATTTACAAGAGGGAAAAGAATTGTTAAGTAGTCAGGTGCAAGGTGTAGGTAACTATAGGTGATGAGTTATTTTTCTTCTACTTACAAGAGAAGGATAATAGTTAAATTAAGTGGGGAAATGTATTTGACTCACAGTAATTTCTTCAAACAGGGAGGTACACGGGCAATACCGAGAAATTGGGGCAGAACACAGCAAGGCCTACACAATGAAGATCTGATGTTCATTCAGAAAAAGAGTGAAATACAATTATTCAGGGAGAAGTCTGTGTCCATTTAATCTTTTTTTTCTCATTTGCCCTACTTATTGGAAAAAATGCCTTGAAGCAATGCTTACTTTTTTTTTTGTATTATTATTGTCTTATTTGAAAAAAATACCACGGATTATTGTAAAATCATTGTTTCAGAAGAGAAGAACACAATATCCGTTTATGAGAAACAAAGGCATTTTTAATGTACACAGTCTTTCTATGACTTCAGAGGAAATAAAAGGTCAAATCACCACCAAGCTAAGATTGTTTACATGATGAGCAGGGCCATATATAGGTCTATAGGAAGAGTTGCAACCACAAAGTGTTAGGAAGAGATGGACACTGATTATAAGAATTCTGTATCTATTAGATAAGAAAGTACTTCATCTGAGAGACATGGACCCCAAATTCTTTCAGTTAGCAAAAGTTACTAATGAAAAATCATTCTCTTCACGATCCTGGCATAAACTGACGATAGCAGATTTTCATTTAAATTAGAATGGCCCATCCCCACCATGCAAATGAATCATCATTCTCTTATTGGGCTTGGAGATGGTTAAAATGTATAAAAATGGTAATTAAAATATAAGGTTATAAAAATGCTTCCCTTTTTTATTTTAAGTTTACTATCTACAAAAAAACAAAAAACAATCTTTATATTTACATCAAAATAACTATTTATGACAAATACAATATGAAATAAAATATTGAAAGTGAGTATCAACTTTTTAAATAGAGGTTTGGCTCACAGCATAAACAAGTGTAGATAAACAAACCAAAAAAAAAAAAAAAAATCTTTCAATGCTAGGGCCAGTCCCCAAACAATCACTCTGTAATGTTCCCTGCCAAAAGCATGACAGTGGGCCAGATCTCAGCTAAGAACTGGCCATCATGCTGCATGTGGAAAACCAGATAAGGGTTGTCAGTGGGACCTTCACCCACAAAAGCCAGTCTTCAACACTTGCCCAGCATCAGGCTTTTACTATGTCAGTACCACCAAAGCACTAGGTAGAAATTCTCTCCCTCATCTCTGGTTAAAAATCCCACACTGGATTTCTCTTTGCCTTTCTTTTTCTTTTCTTTCTTTTTTTTTTTTTTACCACATATTTTGCAGCAAATTAAAAAAGTCATAGGAGATCACTGTTAAGTGTAATTTCCCAGGCCTTCTCCAACAATCTCCTAGAATTCTAACCTGATGAAAGGACCTGACTCTAGCTTCTTTTTAGAAGTGTTTATGTGTAAAGAATGTCATTCCCTTAAAGGGTGGCTTGCTCTTAAGTAAGTAACACACAGACTCACAGACACACAGGTCCTATACATTCCTCAGGCTCATAGATAAGAAAATGCCTTTCCTCCAGGTTTGAGGCTGGTCATAGAGTGCCTCCAAGTGGTGCATAGCAGTAGTACCAATCACGTGGCCCTGTCAACCAGCCCTTGAACACGCTGCATCTGCAAAGGAACATTTACTGCAGCTAAATGGAAGAGGGCATTGGAATGGCTGCCTCTCAAAGATACCCTTTCAAATGAATTTCCTTCTGTTTGTTCACATGTACTGACTCACTGGCTGCAGCTAGTCTATGAATTCCTAAAACTACAGTAATCTCTCTCTAAATTGACACCAACACACATACACACAAGCACCCTTTCAATTACTGCTTACACACAATTACATACGTGCATGCGCACACACACGATATTGGCAGGATGTGTCAGAATTCAAATAATGCTCTGGAACTTTCATCCCTCAGTATTAAGAGCAAAAGCTGCTTACTAGTTGGCAACCTACATTTGCTGCACTGTTTCCTTGCTAAGCCACACCATTTCCTTTGTAATTTGTTTTCCTTTATGATTTATTATATCACAGTGACCACTATATATCTTAATATGAATGCTACTAAATTATGAGCCAGTAATTCTGGCTTTTGGTGTATGTGCGTGTGTATGTGTGCATATGATTTACATATATCTATGTGTGCGTTTATACACACACACACATATATAGTTCCTCCTTAAAAAGAAAAAAAATCCTTAGAAGCTGGTGTTGCAGAGTGAAAGCTTCTTTGAGCAAAAGTTTAAACAATGCACCTCACTGTAAAAATAAACACATAAAATGCAAAGAATCCCAATATGCAATAGCCATTTGTCCATCTTCTCGTATTTCTACAGTGTTGTGTCTAAGTGTTGTGCTGGCTTGAAAAGAGTCTGTGACAAGTTAATCTGTTTTAAAACACAGCTTGTTCCACCCACTGTCACTGGTTTGGCTTTGGGTTTGGGACCTCTTCTGCTCTCTGCTTCCCTTTCTCTTCCTCTTCCTCTCTGATGGCCTGGATCTGTTCTGAGGAGTGCTGCTGAGGGGACTGGTCCAGGGATTCCTTTTCTACGCCTGCCAACCGCTGTTCCTCTTCAATGACGTTCTTCCACATCTTGTGATTCTGCAGGAGGTGCTGAGTTATTTGGCAGTAGATTTTCCTCCTTTTGAAAGTTTTCTTTCCTGAGAAAACACCAAATTAGAATACTCATTCACATACTGAGCACAGGAAAGTTATTTCCTTTCAGATTATTAATAGGAGTTAAGTACCAAATGGATATTTGTATATTTGTATGTGTATCACCTGGTTTGTATACTGTAAGAATATAGTTTTGGGAATGGGGAAACAAGAGGAAGGTATCTACTTAGGGACTCTATTGGGCATTAAAAGACCAATTACCAACAAATGGATTCTGACTCATGACCCCAAGTTGTTACAGAGTAGAGCATCTCCATAGAGTTTTCTTGGCTCTAATCTTCACGGTGGCAGATTATCAGGCCTTTTCTCTGAAGCACTGCTGGGTGGGTTTGAACTGCCACCTTTTAAGTTAGTAGAAGAGTGCAAACAGTGTGCCACCTAGGGTCCTCTCTATTGAACATTACTGAATAGTTTTATACTGTTTGTAGTTACGGAGCTCTGGTGGTGCAGTGGTTAAGGTATTTGGCTGCAAACCAAAAGGTCAGTGGTTCGGACCCACCAGTCACTCTATGGAAGAAAGATGAGATAGTCTGCTTCTGTAAAGGGTTGCCACCTTGGAAACCCTGTGGGGGTCACTGTGAGTTGAAATTGACTTGATGGCAGTGAGTTTGGTTTCGTTTTGGTTCTTAATTAGATCAAAATGATACTCGGTAATGTCCCGTAGAGTCTTTGGATGGTGCAATGGTTAACATGCTTAAAGGTTTAAGTACTGAGTCCACCCCAAGGTTCCTAGGAAAAAAGGTCTGGCAATCTACTTCCAAAAAATCAGCCACTAAAAGTCCTATAGAGCTCCCTTCTACTCTGACACACATGGGGTTGTCACGAGTTGGATTCAACTTGATAGCAACTGGATTTTTTAAAAAAAATGTCCAATACAAGCTTCTGCTGGTATTTTTGTATACTCCCACTACATCTAGGTTCACATAACATTTTCTCTAAACTATTGGAATAATTTCTTGTTATAGATTCCTTTATTTTGCTAACAGATTCGACTCACAAAAATCTACAAAATTGATTTCCTTTAAAGACAACTTTAATGTTAACTGGTCTGCTTCATGTAAACTACAAATTTAGTTTCAAATTCTATTCAAGGTTCTGTCATAAACTGGCATAAACTCACTTTTGCAGTCTTCGCCTCTCTGCAGTCCACCCTCTAGCTATATTTAACTGCTCTATTTTCTATATGTACAATGAACTGTTCTAGTTTCAAGCAGGCACTTTCCTTCTGATAGACTCTTCCCAATCATTAAACATTCATGACTATTTATTAAGATTTTGTTGACTTCTTCTAAGAAATCTCTCTCCCTTTCTTTTAAAGACTCACATTACTGCACATAACCTTGTAGAGCAGATAATGTTTCTTCTTTTTTTTTCTTCTTTCTCATTATTATTTTCTCTTCTGGTAACTGCACATTCCAAATCATTTAGTGGGAATTCTCCTATCTTACTTCAATTATGGGGTTCTGGAAAAAGTTGTCAATCGTCAATCATGAAATCTGTTCTCTCATGCACCTCCCAATAACACAAGCTGTGTCATAGAATATCCAAGGGCAATATGTAAATGATAATGCTCAGCAAATATGTATTTAATAATAATAATAACCCTCACAGCCATCAAGTCAATTCCAACTCACAGCAACCTGTACTGAGTTTCTGAGGCGGTAAATCTTTATAGAAGTAGATTGTCCCACCTTCTTTCTGCAGAGCAGCTGGTGGGTTTGAATCATCAACCTTCTGGTTAGTAGTCAAATGCCTTAGGCACTGCGCCACCAAAATTCCTTATGTATTTAATAGACATATTAATTATATTTTCTATGACCAAACAACTTCAAGTTTTCAATATGGAAGTATTAAAGGAAATTTTTACAGAATTAAATCTTTTGATTCAGAAAGTATAGTAAAACAATTTCAACAGAAGAAACAAGGTGTTTTAGAGAAGACTATATGAGTTAATGTCAAAATTCACTATTTAGGTTTGTTATTCCCTATATATGTATGAACATCTAAGAAGTACCAAGTGTTATGCTAGGTTCTGGTGACTCACTAATAGACAAGATAGATATAATGGTTGCCAATCTGGGAAGTGGGAAGATGGAGAAGATAGAGGGTGAATGAGTAGTTACAATTACATTGAGTCTTAAAAATTCTTTGAAAGGTGGCAGAAAGAGAGAAATGACTCAAGTGGAAGGATAGTGCATTATGATGGTGACTTGGAGTAGGAGGGGGAAGCAGAAATAAAGATATATAGATAGGAGCGCTGGTGGCATAGTGCCTAAGGCATTTGACTGCTAACCAGAAGGTTGGTGGTTCAAACCCACCAGCCACTCCTTGGAAGGAAGATTGGGCAATCTATTTCCATAGTGATACTGCCTCAGAAACCCAAGGAGGGTTTCAGAGATGACTCAGGGCACATAACAACAACAACAACACACAAAGATAGGATAAATTTGTGAGGTAGATTCCACAGGACTTGGCAACTGATTAGACATAAGGAACAAGGAAGAGAAAGGAATCAATGATAACACCAGAAAATGTTGTGGCCTGAGTGGCTGAGTAGATGGTGGTATGATGTATTGAGAAATGGAACATTAGATGAGAAGCTGATGTGAAGGTTTGAATATGACTATATTCCTTTAAAGTGTCTGGGAGATATCTAAATGGAGAGGTAAAGGAGACAGCTAATCTTGAGCTTAGAAAAGAGGTCTCTTCTATTCTCAGCAACAAGAATGTAACTCTTAGTATTTTACATTCATTAACCATGTTAGATTTAGGCCAAGAATTTACAAATTAGGCTAAGATCTCCCCAATAGACTATAAATTCTAAAAAACAGAAGGTTCTTCCCTTTAGTGTGTATATACACCCACAAAGCCCTCAAACTGTAGTAAGTATTCAGTAAATGTTTACTAAACAAATCCTTTTCTCCCAAGTGTCTGTTCTGTGGTCTCATGTAAATGTTGAAGTGTTGATAAGTGTAATAAGCAATAAAAATGATATGAAACAGTGGTCTACTGGAAATTCTAATCTGACTGAGACTTCATTAAAGAGTTAACAGTACAAGCTACCAGAATGCTCAGAGGAATATTTGGGTCTATTCAACTAATTGTGATGATTAACAAAACATATTCTTGGAGGAACAAAATACTACTACTACTACTACTACTACTACTACTACTACTACTACTAAGCCACCAGAGCTCCTAATAAAAAAAAGAAAAAGAAGAAGAAAGAAAGAGGAAGAACTAAAAAAATGTTAACAGAAAAAAAGAAAGAGCAAGCTATCTGTTATGGAACTAGACCTCTTGGAGGGTATTCACCAACATTTTTGTGGATGTACTAGTAATTCCTATAACAATTTTATTAAAATCTACTGCAGAAATTTATTGTAATTTACAGGAAAATTAGATCAGTTTTAAAAACAGCACAGAAAAAGGGCTTTCAATTACCTTGAATTACTTTTGAACCAAACAAGCACACAATAAAAACTATCAAATTGAGTGACTGTTGGGTGTTGTTGGAGGAGGTTGGACACAAGCAGAGTCATAAGCAAGAATAAGAAATTCTTTACTGTATTCTTTATTTTATTCATCAGAGGGATCCATCAAACAAACTTATATTAACCTCTTACTGACAGGCACTTCTCTGGATGCTCTGGAAACAAAGACCACTTAGACTCAGAGCTTGAGTTACAGAAACTTCTAATCTATTGCAGAGAGCCAAGAAGACAAAAACTGAAATGCATACATTATATTTTATGACAGACTTTCTATTGAAACTATAGTAACACAAATGACAGCCTGTGGGGGATAAGTAAGATCGATTCAAAAGTCATGCCACTGAGCTGTACTAAATGCACTGGGTGAAGAAAAGTCTAGCAGTACTCCAGATACAGTGAGGGACATGTGCACAGGCAGAAGGTATGCAACCCTGGGGCATGACCCATGTAGCCATTTCTTTATTTGAAAACTTCCTGATGAGGGCAATATACCTGAACTAAGAAGGAGCTCTTGTGGTGAAGTGGTTAAAGTATTCAGCTGCTAACCAAAAAGGTCAGTGGTTTGAACCCACTAGCTGCTCCATGGGAGAAAGTCGAGGTAGTCTGTTTCCCTAAAGATTATAGCCTTGGAAACACTATAGGACAGTTCTCCTCTGTCCTATGGGGTTGCTTGGACTCTGAATAAACTCAGTGGCAGTGGGTTTTTTGGTTTTATATAAACTAAAAAGAACTTCATTAAAATATTTTTTTTCAATCAAACCAATAAAATATATGAATACATTAGATTTTTAAAAGCAAATTTGAAACATCATTCTTCTATATTTCTGCTTTGCTTTTGTTGTAGTTAAGTACACATAAGCTTCTGCTGAGGAGACATTTTGAAATGTTAGTATACTTTTTAACCTAATCATTTGACTCAAGAGAGTTACAGATAGCCACTGGTTGAAGGAAAGACCTAATTACAATTAAAGGAAATACTTCACTGATCTAGGTAATTACCCCATCTGAAAGTTACACACATCCGTAGCAGTACATTCATAAGGATGAAGCTAACAAAAGCTCAATTTTTCTTTTTTTCCTTTCAGGGCCGATCCCTTGAGAGCAGCTGTTCTCTTATTAATGCTGTTAAACATTAGCAGTAAACCTCTCTGGAATTACACTGAATAAGGTGACGTAGAAGAAAGTTTGTCCCAAATAAATTTGCGTAGATTAGAGTCTGCAGGTGGTCTAAAACACGCCTGTATTGGGAGCCAAATTGTTCAGCACTGGAAATTTTTGAAATGAGAACAAAGAACCTTTCATTGCTCCAAGTCTAAATGTAGCTTAGTACTTCATTAGAAACCTCTTAGTTCGCTGTAGGAATCTTTCAGATTTAATTATGAGGTGGGGAAAAAGCCCTCTTTCCTTAGCATACCATATTGAAACATTTTATTCTGCATTTCCTGGGAGATCTCCAAGTTTTACAAATCTTAGAATTTATCAGTGCATATTTAATTTTTTTTCCCTTCAAATCTAAGAATCAGGCTAAATCAAGCTAACACTCTGACTTGATACAAATTGTGAAATTCAAAATAATATGGGCAAAAAGCAATGAAGTGCTTTTTCTTTTCTGCTTGTGCTCTGAAGATGTTACTTAATTTTCTGGACTTCAATTTAATCTTTTGTAAATTGAGGCAGCTAAACTAGATGTTCAATGATTGATTCTCTTTCCAGCTCTAAAATTCCATACTCTATATTGACAATTTTTAGTAAATAAATATTAACATGGCCCAACCCAGATCATTTTGATAGCTGGATAAAGAAAGATAATTTTTCAAAAGCTATGGTATCAAATCACAGTTGATGGGATGTATTAAATTTTAATGTAAGGTATTCAATTGGCTTTTGGAAGCCACTTGTGAACAGAAACCACAGAACTGTGCTGCTTTAGAGAATTTTCTAAGAACAGGAAGGACAGGAGAATAACACAATAGAATCTAGAAGTCAGTATGTAACCCATTCCTACAGAAAAGAAAGGAATTAAATCTTTGGTTGTAGTATTTGCTGCTAAGCCTAGGATGACAAGTTGAATGTATCAAATCTCATGGCCTGAGTCCTTCAGTTCCTGATGCATGAATTATGTATCTGTGTTTGAATGCAGACAGAAATCAGTTAATGTCTATGGGAACAAAGCTCTTCTCAATGTTTAATTTGACAGCACTTTTTTTTCAATATCATTCAGTGGAGAGGCTGTCTTGCCCTTAGACAGCAAGCTACCTGGCTCTTGGAAATTAGAGCCAAGTTAAAAAAAAAAAAAAGACCTAATACATGCTTGTTATATAAATAAATGAAAGAATATTCTCTGAATGCCAAGTCTTGGCTGTTAGCTTAGAATACTAGGAGTAGAAAAAAATTTGGAATGGAAGTCTTTTTATGAGCATTAGGGAAATAAAATATAATTACTTTGACAGTAGCATATGTAGGAAAACAACTTTTGATTTTTCCCCATTCTGTAAAAAAGTTAATATACAGAACAGAACTTAAGCAAAAATCTGCCTAGAACCAAATTTGTAAAACCTGTTGGTATTGTCATGTGCCAATGAGTTGGACCTAACTCATAGCAACCCCTCCTTGGGTTTCCGAGGCAGTATCACTACGAAGTAGATTGCCCAACCTTCCTTATGAGGAGTGGCTGGTGGGTTTGAACCACCAGCCTTCTGGTTAGCAGTCAAGTGCCTTAGGCACTACACTA